CCTTAGTCAAAGTAAATCGGGTCAGGTTTAGCCTTAGCCAAAATAAATCGGCTAGGCTACGCCATTTCCCAATAAATATCACAGATATATTCTAGATAATATTTTCTTTTGACAAAACAGGAGAAAACATCAAAAATATTTTAAATTTTTAAGCCCAAGTCAAGCTTTGGGTCGACTTACAGGGCTCTTTATTCACTGATGTATGACTCTGTTTTTAGGGGAAAGGGGGAGGGGAGGGGAGGGGAGGGGAGGGGAGGGGGGGGGGGGTAACAAAATAAAAATAAATGTTGAAAACGTATTTAATTAATTTTTGACACCTCCCCCTTTCTCATAATTTTTGTTTGGTATATACAATTGAAATTAAATTCCTTTTAAATTTAAGTTTTCCTTTTTACTATTTTAATTATTTTCATGCTTCCAATCTTAATTAAACATAATCTAACGTTTCCCAGATTTTAATAAAATTTTTCTCGGATTCAAATTAGTATAATCATAGGCAAGTTATAAATTGCGTCCCTTAAGATAAATGGAATGAAAAACAAATTAGCGGTTCTCTTAAGGATGTATGAAGCGGATAAAGTTGATAGGTATTCAAGAAACCCACTGTCCAGGAAATAACGCTGCAACCTTCAATGATTATAAAATATTTTGCTCGGGCACCACTTTCAACAGCTGGTCTGAGATAGCATTCCTAATAAATAAACGAATACTAAATTTCATCATTAAATTTGTATCCATCTCTGAAAAATGTGGTCTTCTCTATTTGAATACAAAATTTAAGCCCACAATAATAGCAAATTTCTATTCCCCACCTAATAGGAATGAAAGATTAATAATAAATATGATTCACTCCCTACCGTGTAGATAAAATATAATAATTTTAGGTAATCTAAACATGAAAATTGGTAAAGGAGCTGAATGTTAGTAGTAATGTCACTGGATATGCTACCATACAACAACCAAATAGAGAAGACAGTAAGAAATTTCTTGATTTCTGCAGAAATAAGAACTTTAAAATAGAAAATACCTATTTTTGCCACAGAGAAATAAATACATACATAGGCCTAAACCGAATTATTTGTTATTCGAAATTCGATTCGTATTTTACGAATATGAATAGCAAAATTATTCGATTCAAAATTTCAAATCGAATATGAATAATGAGGAAAAATATTAATGGAATAGTAAACTTTTTATTATTCGATTGAAATTATTTGTATTATCGAATATTTATTTTAAATTTGTAATTTTTCGTTAATATTTGTAAATCGTAAGTAAATAATAAAATAGAAGAAATTAAACTTTCTAGTGGATATCATTTCGTTTTACTTTATTTTATTTCCTATTTTTTATATATTCATAAATCAAATCATAAGTTATATTTTCTGATAAGAAGTTATAATGCTTTGAATTCTGTTACATCAACTTCTTTAGTAGAACTTTCATATAGATCAGTATAGTTTTTACTTGTAATTTTAATTTTTTCATTGAACTAGTTTATACTAGTTATTATGTCTTTGTTCTAGTGATATGTTTTTATATTACCATTTATATTTTTGTTTTCTTTGTTCAATTAGAAGTGATGTGTTTTTCTCATTATCATGTACATCTTTTTTTCTTTGTTCACGTATACCAAGCTTGTTTTGATTTCATCCTCAAAACTGGTTCTAGCCAGTTTTCGAGATGGGCCTGGATTATTAACATTCTTTTTTTTTATTATATAATTTATCTATATAAAGACCACGAAAAATGATATTCGGGATTGTGTTTTTTATGAATGATTTTATTCCTTTTTTGTAACTATTGAAATAAATTTGTTTTACCATAATTACACTACGTTGTCCGCGTGATTCCATGACAAAATCGATACCCAAACCCGGCCCCCTGGATCCCATTATCGACCATCCCGGACCCTCGATCACGGACTGTGTTTTCCCCACTTTCTGTCGAAATTCAACAGGTATGATAAATAATCTCTTCAAACATTTTTGGTGTTATGAACAAGTCAAAACATTTTTTGGAGTGTCTGCTTCTTTCCTATATTCTTTTACTCCTGACAGATGAATAACCAAATTTTGTTGACGAGTTCTTATTAAAATTCTTTTCCATTCAGTAACCTTATTTTTAGTTAATTTTAAAGAGAAATATACTATGATATATTTACCGAAATAATATTTAAGACTCTTCTTTTTTCAGCTAACATATCTTCTTCATCTTATTCAGACTGTGTATCATGATTCCTATCATATATAAAATCTTCATCCTCACTATTAATTACATTATCATATCATATAAAATAATTTTATATTCAATTTTAAATCAAATGGTCTATAATTTATATACTACAAAATGAATATAAAATTGTCAAAATAAGAAAGGATTGATTTAAAAGAATTACTAATGTTCTAAGGTTTAATTAATATTCTGTTTCTTAAGTTGTTTTAAATTTTAAATATTTTTTCTTTCAGGTGCTAATGTACATTGATCTGGAATTTCAGAAACTTAGATTTTATATAATTTTAAATATATTCAAAGATCAATTTGAAAATTTTGATGGAGAAAGAGAGGGTGATGAACAAAGCCAATCCTCAACTAGTACTAGAGCTACATCTATCCAATCAATATCTGATTAAGCTGAGCCTGTTAATACAAGGCGAAAAATTGTTTAATATGAAATCATTATCTCCATGATTCTAAAATAGAAACTGCCAAATGTAAAATATGTAAGGAGGAAATAATGTGTAAAAAAACACCTCTGCACTAATTAATCACAATAAAAGATTTCTTCAAAGATTCAAAATCATAATACAATAAAAAACTATTTAAATGATTTAACCAAAACAAATATTGATGATATTAAAATTTTTGCTCAAGTCAAATATTTAAATCATTTGTTAAAACTTTAAATCATAATGTAAAAAATTTGTTCAATACCCTCAATTAAACTATATATGAATTAAATTTATAATAAAGAATTCAATAAAGTATAATTATAAAATGATTTAAAGTGCCAAATCAACTTTACCACCGACATATGGTCAAGCCCTACTAATGTACCATTTTTCGGGTTGACCCCACTTTATAGATGAAAAATGGGTTATGAAGTTATTGTTATTAAATATAGTACCATTTACTGATTCACATTCTAATGAAAATATATATATGGAGAGTTTTCTCACATTATAAAAAATTATAATATCGATATAAGTAACAGCAAATACTTGTGATAATGCAAGCTCGAATTCAACTTTTATAAAAATTCTTAGTATAAAACACCCAACTTGCAAAATTTTACATGTACGATGTTTTGCAGGTGTATTCAATTTAGTAGTATAAGAAATACATAAGAAAGTAGACAATCAATTATCAAAATTAAGAACAATCATTAAGGCTATTCGTAATTCTTTTATAAAGACAAATATTATAAAAATGTAAGCTCTTCCTTACTTCCCCCGATGAAATATCTAAAATTTAAATTAGACACATACATAAGATGGAATAGTTCTTATACAATGGTCGAAAGAGCAATTAAAATGAGAAGGGCCATTGACGAAGTTGTGACTCAAATATATGATTGAATATTAGATTTAAGAAATAATTTAGATATTTTTATAAGCAATTCTCATTCTAAAAATGGGGTGTTTTTGGCCTATTTGTTTGGATAAAGTTATATGAAATCATTGGGTTTTATTTCGTTTATTTTCTGTAGATTTTGATATGGTAATGAAAATTAGTTTAGAGAATCCTTATGAAAGTGTCATTTTTAAAACATCCACATCTTTGTATGATTTTCTTTGCAAAAAATAATTAATTATTTATAAGCTTTGGTTAATTCCATGAAAATCGCTCAGTGATTAAGCCAACCATCTCAAAAATGAATGAAACTTGGCATGATAGTTATTTATGTTGTAAATGTTAATAAAACAAAATTTTAGAGTGCTAGCACAACCAGATATATACCTTGAAAGTCGCAAATCGCGAAGTGCGTGATTTCATTTAATCTTGTTTTTTTAAACTTTTTTTTCCCGCTCTTTTATATTAAGCCTATAGAAGTTTAGCAACATTTTTCGAAATGTTGCGCGTTGCAGGTATGCGCGACGCCCACAAACGTGTAGAAGGCTCCACTTATTTTTACTTTTTAGCTCAAATTAAATTAGTTCCAAATATATGGAAATGAGGAATACCTAGCGTAGCTCTGTTGAACTTTTCAATGCCAGGGAGCAAAAGTGCTATATATCATGCATCATTTATTAGCTACAACAATTTTTTATAAAAAAAAACAATTAAAAAAAATTTTGACCCAAAATATATCAAAAATAAAAAATTATTTATATGGATCTTATAATAATTATTTTTAAACGTGGCAATAATTATTTTATTTTTAAAAATGAAATGTTTCATATATCAGAGATCTGCAACCGATCCTTTATTGATTTTTTGCACAAGTTGCCCGGCACGTTATTTAAATGCTTGTTGGACTTGTCTCTGCCCATTTTTATTAATTTTCCGGACCGACCTATTAAAATTTTACGAAAAGTCTGACCCAGCCTGTTTAATTTATTTTTAGACGAATTTTCCCGTCAACACATTTTTAATGTCTTTATCTTATTTTTATCAATGTTAGTTAAGGCTAGTCATTTCTACTCTATGGCTATATCTATTTCTATAAGAACCAATTTGATAATAACTTGTTTAATTTTTGAATTAATTTTTAGTCAGAGCTCTTAAAATATATAGAAATAAGCATATTGTAATTTATTTTCAAATAGTATTAATCAAAGTCTAAATATTAGCTTTAACTTCAAAAAAACATATCAAAACATTAAAATTAAAAATCAGAGATTTACGATGGCTTACACAATTTTTATGTATGAATTATCCTGCAAGGACCTGTTCGTTAATTTTTTATGTACGAATGGCCAATTTAATTTTTTGCCATACGGCCCATGAGATTTGCAGATCTCTAACGTATATTCTTTTTAATTTATTAATCATTTTACCTAATGCAGTGAGATCAAAAAGATTTAGGCATCTTGACAACTTTGTATCGCACAAATTTCCGAAATCAATCCTCTTCTTACGAAACAATTTATCAACAAAGCGGCCAGCACAATTATTCATCATCTTTCCGGATGAATTCGTATTTTTCTCAGGCCCAAAATCACTGTTACAAATATCCATATCTTTTCGAGCCATTTGATAAATTTGGTACAAAATTCCCAATATTATTAAAAAATATATATTGATCGTATGGCTATCTCAAAACCAAGAATACTCAAATATTATGCTGGTTCTATGGCAAAGCGTCTAGTAAATTTGAATAATAAAATTTAACATTAGAAATATGAAAAATTTAACACGATGAATCATAAGAATGTTTAAACGGTCAATTTTTTCTATAAAATGTCTACTTGAAAAAATAATGATAAAATTTAGCCAATTTCTTATATAAAAAAGTTAAAAATTCATTAAAAACTTAAATACTAAATTAATGTTTTATTCACTTATATTATATGATCAATTGGGAATGTTTGAATGTTCTTATGTACAAAATGGTATATTTATTGTAATTTCAAAAATAAATTTTGGATCTGTTTCAAATATGCAAATATGAAAATCAATTTACAACCCCTTTAAGGAATAAACTAAAAAAATAGGTGTATTGAAAATCAAATATTTATAAAATTTAATTTAATAGTTTATAATAAGATAAAATTAAAGAAACATCTTAAAATTAAACTTTTAAAAAATAGTTAAAGCAAAAAAGTCATAGGAATGTAACCAATGGGAGGGACATGGAGATATATACCTTAGCTTGCAAGTTTTCAAAAATATTATTATCAATACAAATTCTCCCTATTAAAAAATTTATAAGTTAATTTTTTTAACGAATAAATGTATATAATTGAAATTTCTAGAAAAAAATAAGTATTCAGGATTTTTGTAAAAGGGGGAGGGGGGTATTTTTTCACCATAAACTTTATTGGGTATTTATCGATCATCTCTTTAAAAGTTTTAAGTCAAATTACATATTTTTTTAAAATAATTTTGGTTTTCTACTCTTTTTAAGATGTCCAAAAGTATGATTTTTTAAGAAATTTTCAAATTTCAACAAAATTGTATGTTAAATTTTTATACAGTTCTTATTATCCAATTAAAATGAAAAGTTTTATTTTCATTAAAGTTTTAAAAATTTTACTCACTGATGGGAGGGGGGGGGGGATTAAATAATATGAAAATCGACTTTTAGTTATAATTATTGATGCGTTTTATTTTTAATAATTATTGTTTATGAAAAAAAACTTATTTGTAAAAAAGATAAATTTACAAAGACTCTAAGTAAAGCTATAATATATTTGGAAATTTTTGAAATAATGGGGCCACTGTCATTATATTTTCAAACTAAAAATTTAGATATTTTGTCAGCAAAGAAAATATCATCGATAACTATTATATCGATTCAAAATAAAGCAATAAAAATGGCTTCTAATTTAAATGAAACACTTTCATATATAAAGCGTCCAGAGTATCTGGGTATAGAATACTCTGCGAAAAAATCGAATAGAACGAGCGAAGAGAATGTATAGTGACGATGGCCAAGATCAACGTCCTCAAGAATCGATAGGCCGGTAGAAGTATTTCATCCTATAATTGATCAAATTATAAACAGCTTGTTAGAACGGTTTGCTGTGAATAGAGAGCTTATTTTGAATGTGCAATATTTGCATCCAAGGCATTTTGTTGAAATTAATAGTAAAGGTTAGGGATGTACCGATATTTTTTATAGGATCGGATCAGGCCGATATTTTACCCATTTTAAAATATGTTATCGGCCAATATTATAAAATTTTCAGATCCGATCCAATAAAAAATGGCGTTTTTAACAAAAATAAACTGTTATTAAATTTTTTTTTAAAGTTATATCTAAAATCATTTATTTTTATAAATAAAATCTATATCCATTTTTATGTTAATTTTTTAATAATAATAATTAATTAATAAACATTCTGCCATATTGTTATTTTTTTGCGCATTCTGTTTATAAAAGTGTGCGATAATCTCTTCCGAATCTTTTTAGTGAAGCTGGTGATATTGACAGTTGCCATCGCCACAGGCTGACCTCTGATAAATTGGAAATTTTGGTATTTCTAAAAGGAAATCTTCGATATATTAATGTTAAATATTATTTTAAATATTTATTTCATCATAATATATTTGTTTATTACTTATTATGTATATAGATTAATATTATTACTTATTATATAAAAATGATTTAACAATAAAAATATTTTATATACTTTTAGAATTGCAATTGAATTGAATATAAAGTATAAATAATCATTATAATATATTTAAATGACATAAGTTATTAGATTATAGGTTTTACTAATAAAAAGTATATTAAAAATTAAAAACATTGGTATCTTTACAGAATACAAAATTAGATATTCGGATCGGATCGGCCTCCAAAAAGTGGTATCAGTACACCCCTAATAAAGGTATTTCTGAAAAGGCCTTGGAAAAACTGGCACATTTGGTAAATATATTGAGTGTTAAATTACGTAACAAATTGTGTTCATTTGCCAGTGTATTCAAAGATTTAGTAGCAGCATTATATGAAACGGACGATGATAACGTATGTATATTGCCATTTTACATTTTTTAAATTTTTAAGCTAATAAATTATAATGCCTTGAGAAAAATTAAATCCAATATATAAATTATAGTATTATAAATGACACATCAAAATGTAATATTACTGATTGTCAAATAAACATGAAAGGACATCATGGAGCAAATCTTGAGCGTCACATAAAAAGAGACCACCCTCAATTAACAAAATATCACAACAAAAGCCTAATAAAATAAAAATGTTTAAGATGTTATCAAGCCAACAAACGATGGAAGAAACATTAAAAGAACATACAATATCAGTAAAACCAAATAAAATAATAATAATCGATGCTTATACATAGTTGTTCACTTTTAATGGCAGACCATTAAAATTAATCGATGATAGCGTTTTAAAAAAAAATTCTTGATCTAGAAGGCATGGGTATTATTAAAATTAATTCTCAAAATATTCAATCTAGTGTTGCAGAATTAGCCTTAAGTATTCGGCAAAATATAATCAAAGATATAAATGATAAGTTATTATCTGTAAAAATGACTGTACTCATCTAGACAGGTCCATTTTTGGTTCAGTATATTCAAAAAGCAAAAATAACAATGAAAGGAATTTTTGAACAATCTACTAATTTCGGCCTCAATATTTTTGGAGCATAGATTAGATCTATCATTTTTATTTATTGGGATCAGTACGTGATCCCCAATGCAAAATTTTATCTTTTTAATTTTATTCTTATAAGCATTCTCTTGCTTCTTCCTATCTATTAAATATAAAATGAACGAAGGTAGTCTGGTTAAAATATTTTCGATGCTGTTGACAATCGAGTTTGTAGTATAATTATCTTTCCATAATATTATATTTCCAATTTTATATTTTGTGCTCTCCGAAAGAATATATTCAATATTGTAAAAGGATTCAAAGAATTTTCCTTATTTTGTAAGCAATCAGAACACCCTCAGGTTTATCAGTAATATTATTGTTTTAAAGTAGGTATAACGTATTGCAAGTCTCATTAGAAACTATGATGAAATCTTGTTTAAAATAAAAAATATATAAAAATGAAGAGTTAAATTTGTAGAGTTAGTAAAATATTTATTGATTTTATTACTTTCATCAGAAAAGGAATGATTTCTCAATCCATTGCCATTATATGATGAGCTTGGTATAGAATTTTAAATTAAACCTTTTAATTTTAAGTTTAAAATATTTATTATCATTCAATTTTTACGCATTTCATCAGGATTAGACTCGATCAATAAGTTATCATTGAACGTTGAACTAGGTGTAACATTATGAATTAAACCTTTAAAAAATTTAGGAGTTACAATTATATTTTTATTCTAGCATATTTTATTATTACTGATTTCATCAGGATCACATTCTATCAATGAATTTTCGTTTGATGTTAGTCTTGGAAGAGTATGAACCAAACCTTTATAGAATTAGGGGGTAAATATATTTAAAAATAAAATAATCATTTCTTATTTAAAGACTGGTGGTGATGCGGAGGTTTAAATTTTCCGAAAATTATTAGTTATTTTATAAATTTAGATAATTTTGAATTAAACCTTTAAAAAATTTAGGAGTTACAATGAAAAATTTAGTTCTATTATTACCGATTTCATCAGGCCGATTATTTTTAAGAAAAACTAGTAATCTTTTTTCTTAAATATTTAGAAGTGAACACAACTATCAAATCGATTGAAACAATATATGCAACTGTTCCAGTGAATAAGCTCAAAGATTATATAAAAAATTGCGAGGTATGCTCATTGAAGACGACGTTGCCGAAGACTCCAACTGGTAAAGCTTTAAAGTCCACGGCAGTATGGGGTCGAGTTGTAATGGATCTTATTGATTTTAGTAGCACTCCTGATGGAGAATTTAAATACATAATTCACTTTAAAGACCATTTTTCTAATACATACGCAAAGCCTCTTATATCAAAACAAGGGGAACAAACAGTAAAAGTTATACGGAAATTGTTTTTTACTTTGGTCCTCCAAAAATTTTACAAAATGATAATGGACGAAAATTTAAAAGTAAATAAAATTATGGATTTGTCTAAAAAAACTTGTAGATAAAATAGTTGAATCTATGTTAAAGGATGAATTTCCAAAGGTAATATTTGCACATTCGCGACCATGCCACCCAGAAACCAGTGGTTTAATTGAGCGAGCAAATGGAACTTTAGAGTCAAGAATAAGCGGATACATGCTGGAGACGAAAGAACATGATTGGGCGACTGCGCTCCCTAAAATTGTATTTAATATCAATCTATGATATTCTAGAACAATTAAAACCCCATTTAATGTTTTTTTCGCTAGAACACCGGAACTGACACAAGAAATAGTTAATGTGGATTCTGATCATGAAGAAATGAGTAAAAATTCATATTATTTAAGAGGGCTCAGTTTAAAAAATAATCTATCGAAATTTTTTTAAAAAAATTAAAATTCTTAAGGGACCCCATAATTTTCAGAAAATTTGAACCTCCGCATCGCCACTACTCCAAATAAAAAAAATGATTATTTTATATTTATAAAGGTTTGGTTTATACTCTTCCGAGGTTAACATCAAGGGAATACTCATTGATAGAATATGATCCTAATGAAATCGGTAATAATAGAACTAAATATTTAATTGTAACTCCTAAATTTTTAAAGGTTTAATTTTT